ACGATGATGAGCTGTCCTCGATTCTGGCTGGTGTGGAAAACCGGGGCTGAACGCAACAGGCTGCTGAACTGAATAGGATCAAGCGGAAGGGCAGGCAGCGGAATAGAAGAGGGGTGGCTCGAACGAGTACGATGCCAAGCCGTCCTGGGATGCTGGCGAAGATGACGGCGTGGAGAGTTTGTGAGTGTTGCGGCCAACCTGCATGCGAATCTGAAGCGAGAATCGATGAGGAATGGTCCAATCGGGGTGAATGCTGGCCAAGCGTGGCTGCCACCTAGTCGGCCGTTCGATGTGGCCCGACTTGGGAGGGGTTGCAGATGGGTTGAGTGGTTGTGACGTTGCGCCGGGTGATAAATGCTGTTGGAGGGTTGAACGAGACCAAGGCTTAGGAAAGCTTGGGAATTTTTGTTGTTGAGGAGAAGAGCGGGCGACGGCAATGACAGTCAGTCAGATAGACAGGAGTGAACACGACTGAGACGCGTGGGGCGCAAAGTCACTGGTGATGGCGCAATGATATGGTGGCTGTTGCCTCTTTATCTCCTGTCTTGCTCTCGATATCGAAAAGGGAAGGAGCACGCGGACGTCGTTGGTGGTGAGATACCGTGGATAGATCGGTAGCAAGTAAGGTAAGGGGTAGGTAGGTATAGTAAATAGGTAGGTATTTTGTGTTTGCTGGCCCCAACAGAGAGGATCGTGGTTTCCTCAACTCGAAACCGCGCTCTCCATCTCCCAGCAGTCACGGAAGGGCCCGCCTGGTCTTTATCCCTCTTGTACCATGTTGGGCTCTTGGGGCCGTGGCCGCCGCCGGGCTCGCTGCTGGACCGAATGGAGAAGACGGGCTTCCGGTTCGCAAAGCCTTTACACATTGTCCAAATCATGAATTGCAGCCCCCCAATCATGCTCGCTGCTTGTTATTAACACATTGGTCCCTAGTCCTTCCAGGCCGGCCCCTGCCCACCGTGCCTACCGTGCCCTCCCCGGTCCTGTCTGTTGTCTGGCCCGTTCGGTGCTGCCCGCACTTGTTGCCAAATGATGCAAGCGCAGGCAAGCGCGTGGACGAGTGCTGAGCGATTCGGCAAGGACAAGGCTCGTGGATCAACGAGTGGATTGGCGGCCTGCAGTTTCCCCTAAGACAGGTAGGTAGGTACCTTCCTACCCACCTATCTTACCTACGTACCTATGGTTCCTGCCTACGTCCCCATCGTGCCTCCCTCTCCCTCATTGACTTTTTCTCCTGCCTGGCTACAAGGGTGGAACATTAGGTAAGAGGTTGGTGGTCGTTGGCTGGGCCAAGCATCCCCAGTCGGCGCGCTGTCGTGCTGGACCGAAAATTTTTCCTTATCTCTTCACCTCTCATCTGCGCTCCATCCAGCTGGGCCAGCCCACCACCACAACGACAGGTCATGCATCCGCTGGCTGACCGATGGACCCCTTCTTCACCAATCCATCTCGAGGCCTCACTGTCACCCTGGGGGCTCTGCTTGCGTCTTGACCTAGACACGAGTACCTGATGTATTCAGACTGTATACTTCTGTACGAACACACTTTGACGGTACTTTACCAGCTTGGTCAACCCTGTCCGGCATGCAACAGCCCGCCTCAAATAATCAGCCCTGAGGCCCAATGGGTTGTGGTGGTTGATGCCGCCGGATTGGAAAGTTTGTGGCTCCGCACCAGCAGAAACAGAGGACCTGCTGCAACTCGACCACCCCACCCTGACCCCTTCCATCGCATCATTCGTGTCCCTCTACTCGCCTTTTCGTCACCCTCTCGTCATGGCCCAGCAAGGTCCCGAGCTTATCACTAGTGATCTACGGAGAACCACGGCGGAGGATTCTGCTTCGCACAATCTATGCCACCTGGCATTTTCCTGGCCTACCTGAGATATCCAGAAGATGGAATATGGAGGATTGCTACGACTGCCTGCATCAAACTGCCATGGGGGTTAACTCAGGCGCAAGAGCCCAAGAGTATCGTCATTTGATCCCCGTATGGCCAAATCCGCGCCACGCCTGGCTATCTCGACCATCAAAACGCCTTCCGCCCTTAGCCATCACGCGCCCCATCGAGCCCCCCCCCTGCCGCCCCCATCACACTTTACGTTGTACTTGTACATGATCCACATCTGCACCTGTATGCCAGGACCACTTCGTTACCATGCCAGTCGGCCTACATGGAACACCGGTTCTTCTCTTGACTTTCATCAGACGATACTCGAGGCCCCAGCTTCTTGTCGCCGGAGAGGTGCAATCCCCGCCTTGTCAGTTGGTGGCCCTCTAGCCAGCTTTGGCAATTCAACAAAGGCAACATTTTGGCAACTCTTGTCAGGGTCGCTAGAGACGACGGCCTAGCGCCGTAGGACTCAACCTGACCAGCCATCGTCTCTTGAAGGCAAGTGATGGACAAGTCTGTCATTGAAGCAGTGATCAAGGCGCCATCCGCGGCTGAAGCAGGTTGCAACACTCGCCTGTCATCCATACGATGCCCTCAACACCCGTGAATCAGGTTAGCCTTTGCGATGAGCTTCAGCGTTGGCATTGTGCAACCCAAAACCCAACACTCTGTCCACCCAATGCAATTGGCCGCTTTTCATTACGTACTGTACAACGTTGCTAGCCAACTACAGTAAAGCAACGTCTTTGCTCACACGAATGCCGTCATGCTTCGAGCCGCCTGGCGCAAGCTCTGTGTTGGCCCCGTCTCTCGTTCTCCGCCAATTTCGACATCTCCGCGGAGCATTCCTGACCTACCAAAATCCCCTTATTCAAACGTTGTCTGTTTCCCATGACAGACCACGTCCGGTTCCTGATAACTCTACCCGACCTCAGTGATACCACCATCCTGGTCCTTCGCGTTGCTCGAGCCTGCGCGGGAGTTGTCAATGAGTCCGCAACCCCGCCATGGGCTTTGCGGGGAAGAGGGGCACGACGACACCGATATTCGTTCACGACCTAGTAGAGGCTGGGCAAATTGGCATGCTTTCTCTGTTGGTCCAGTGGATATTGCCCACTCCAACTGACGAATCCTTCATCACATGGACCTCACCACCATCCCCCACATCCACTCTTCGCTTCACGATGTTTTTTTTTTCCACGTCAGGTGGTCGACCGCAGCGCAGCCAATCCACTTTATGGCGGGACCGGCACCACCGCTAGATCCAATACCTCTGGCGCAAGCGACATTACCAAGTCTCAAGACGGCCCTGCTAGCGACCAAGGCCCATCTATCGTGGGTCCTTCAACTTCGGTCACATAGTGAAGAATGTTGAATGGAGAACATGTTATTCTAGTGAAAGACAAGTCAAGCCCAGGTGTCAATGGAGCCTAGGGCATTGGCCACTGATATAAAAAAAAAAAAAGCACTCTTCGACCAGCGGCGATTTTGATTGAATTCCAGTAATCGACTTTTGTTTATTGTCCGATGCCTAGAGAGTTAAGGCCACAATAAGCTTGACATGCCTTCTTACCCCGAAAACCCATCATTCTGAACCCATTCATTTGTAAGGCCCAATGTTGCATCTCTGAGTTCTTCATCGGTGGTGACGGGGGCCCGAACCACAATTGGCCTCCCGTTTCGAGATCCATGGAGGCCTGATCCTGCATTGTATGCAGGTTGATGTTGTCGACATACCCCTGGCAGATGTGAGCAGACTGTTCAGCTACTTGGCTGGACGTGAGCTTACCCAGTCAACCTGATCGGTTCGGCCCGTCCAATTGATGCCAAATGGCAAAGTAGAGGATGTCACACCAGCGTCCGTGAAAGCTTGAGGCTGTACATTCGCAGCCATTGGGGGACCTGTCGAGTTTGCGACGGGATGTGTTGATGCTGTAGCATGTGAGCTAATGATCGGTCAAGGGGGCATATGCGGTACCATACCACGGATGGAAAGATCCGACAAAGAAGTAGAGCTCAGACCAATATTGATCGCATCGCCGTGGCCTTCCGGTGAAGGTTCTGACTCATTGTTTTCATAATATTCGGGAGAAAATCCTGACGGAGATCCAATTTTGCGCAACATCGTCTCTACAATGTCAGCCGTCTTTTTGACCGCCGGCAGATCTCTCGCGACGAAACGCCAGATACCATGGGCTCGGTGCAATAGCCTCACTAGTTCTGCCTTGCTTGGCACAGTTTTGTAACCAAAGCCGCTGTTTTCTTGCGGATACTTTTCATTGTCGATTACCAGGAATATAATCATGGCCGATAAGAGGAAGTCATGTATCGCCAAGGAGGATACGAACCACCCATGCTGGTTAAGTATATTGCCGGGCTGGCACATGTGCCATAGATGGTACTGGTGCTCCAACATGGTTACAGCACCATTCAGACACTGGACCCGGGAGTAGTCGTGCTCTTTCTTCATAACGGATTCGACCAAAAACCGACGATGGAGCACACATCTACTCTTGTTATAGATGGACGCAAGGCCGAACCGCTGAATGATCTGAGTCGCAGGGTCTGTTACTGACTCTTCAATGGGTCGCACCCGCATGAACCCCGGGACGGCATCCCAGGCTTCTTGGATATTGCCATCGAGTTTCAGGACCTCTGAATAAGGTGGAGGTGTCAGCAAGTGCGCCAGCCGCGCCACATGCCCAAAACATATCATGAGCTTGTTCTTGCACAGGGGATATGTCAGGTCTGTGTAGTCCGTCATTGGCTGTGGCGGTGGCAGCTCCGTGCTTTCGGGGCCAAAATCTCGATCGAGCACATTCCGTGGCAGCGCTACATCGCTGTCGATGCCATGGATCATAGGCGGCAAGCCCATGTGGAAAGAGACGAGCAGGTCCAATGTCATGCCCATATGCCACATTCTCCTTCGCATCTCGCCTTGAAAGGCGCTTATATGAGAGAGCTTGCTCGGATCCCGATGGAAACCCAATTTGAGCATAAGTCTCATGACAGTGGATGCTAACAAATAGCAGTTCATTTGCGAGTTACGATTCAGCAAAAACTCTGTTTCGGCGTACATGAGGAACGAGGCTATCGTCTGCTCTGTTGGCTGGTGGTATTTGCCCTTGACAAGACACCAGGCGGCTGTGGACCTGAAACGTTTCATCTTTTCGAAGGGCGGTTCAGGCGAGTCTTGCGCGAGCTCGTGGGGGGCCGTGTACGTGGAGAAGTGTGTTGCAAGGCAGATGACCATAAAGAGCTGCGCCAGCCAGTGATAGTCGATGCCACTGGGGTCAAGCCAGAACTCACGGTACTATGTCGAGCAGGATCAGCCTGCTTTGTCAATCCAGAACGCGCTTTCATTGTACCTACCTGTTTGAGAAATGTAGGTCGGTGTATGAGGTCTGCGAGGTGAGCCAATTTAGTACACAGCTGGGGTCGACAGGGCGCAGTGACGACGATGGAAGGGTGTAACAGGGGACATACAAAGGGAAGGGAATTTGGATGCGAAGTATCTCATCACAAGCCGATCGACAATGCGATGATCAGGCAGGATACTAATCACTTCGTTCAAGCTGCGAGGTGAGGTGGGGTCACTGTTAGAGAACAGTAGGACACCAGGAACCTCGTACTCGTCCCACACATGAGATTTCTGTTGTGGAAGACGGTCTTCGAATGTGTCTTGCTCTTCGTCGAAGAAGCTCTTGAGATCCTCAATCTACCAGCTCAACTTGTCAGCAGGGGTCCTACGGGTAAGAGGAGAAGAGGAAGCCAACTCACGTCCTCAAGCATAGCCATAAAGTGCGTGGCACCGATATATGTTGACCCCCTCTCGCCATGCACCACCTGCCCGCTAGCTCTCAGGCCCTTCGCAACCCTTACGGATGGAGGTGGTGGCGGCGCCGCTTCTGCCGGCTCTCGCGAAGGATCGACGGCAACGTCCCCGTCCTCGAGCATGGAGCGCACCATGCCCTCGAGTCGCTTCAGCCGTGAGGCCATGCTCTGGTTGGGCTTCCTCCTCTGCGGCTTGGGCGCATACTGGCACGCCTCGGGGCGGCCCTTGCGAATGCACTGGCCGCATGGGCTCGAGCGGTCGCATTTCAGCTTGGAGACGCGGCACGCAGCGCAGGAGAGCAGGACACGGGAGCGCTTGGCGGCGGTAGCGGCGACGCCGGTGGCGGAGCCGGAACTGAGATGCACCTCACCGAGGGTGTCGGGTCCTGTGCCGGACCTATCATCAGGTGCCCCACTAATGACCGTGTCCATGTTGTCGGACGATCGGGAGGAGGCGCTCCCGCCCACGAGAGGAGAAAGAAACAGAAGGCTGTGGTTTGCAATTGCGGCCTGTTTGCGCGGGGAGTGAGATGTTGTCTCACGGATGGATACGTCTCTCCGCGTCTTTGAATGCGCTCAATCTGTAGGGGTCAGGGATATGAAGGAGTCGCCAGTGCATTTGGGCAGCTTGGTGCAGTTTCAGGCGGTTGCTGACAGACGAGGGCGGATTGCGGGGTACGCACCAGAGCAGGATCGTCCCGGTTGAGATATAGATTTCTAGCGACCACTCTTGGGATTTGTACTCGTCAGAGCCAAGCACACACACGCGCAAACCGAGGCTGTGTCAGGCGAGGTATGCGTGTGTGGAGAGAAAACTGCCGTCGCAGATTGAGCTGGACCAAGCACGAGAATTGAGTTCACGATAGGAGCTCGGACGGGGTTAAGAGGTCCTAAGTCCGTTGCGATCCTCACGGGGCCGATACCGTGTATTGAAAACAAGAAAATAGACTGAAAGAGAGAACGCCGCCATAAATCATCCCGTCAAAGCCATAGCCATGTCTCTTTTGGTTCTTTTTGTTGCCACGCACGCTCTATGAGTCCGGCGCACCCGGTAGCCTCTCGATGATGTATTTCCCTCTTGTAACCTTGAGGATGGGCACACCAGGAATTTTCCTGATGCGGGACTGCAGACCCTTATCCTGTGTTGCAACAATGTAGATTCTCTGCGACAAGTCAGCGAGTTGGTCTCGAGGAGGGTCCGGTAGAGGGGAAGAGGAGGCCTTACGTCCTTCTGGACCTTGTCCACGATACAGTCATCTGCGTAAACCTATATGCCGTGTCAGAACAACGCGAACCTGAGCGATCCAGCCCCATGCAGAGGCCAAGAGACAATCAAACATACACCCTTGTGCGTACACCTCGCCTTCTCCCACCTCTCGTCCCTTGCGACGCGCATAGCGAGCCTGAACTTGGGGCCCAGCTTGGACAACTCGGCCATGACGCAGTCGGTGACGATGGGCGTGCAAGTGGCGTAGAGGCAGTCCATCATGGTCTCGAGCAGCGGCAGCTTCATCTGGACGGTGCGGCTGAAGAAGGACGTGTCGACGAGGACGCTGTAGGGGGGCACGAGGGACGTGTTGGCGGCGAAGAACATCTGCGAGGGCATCTGGGGCACGGCGCGGACGAGCTCGCCGTCGGGGCCGGCTTTCTTGGCCTTCTCGGCCTTGGCGAGGGCTTCGGCTTTGGCGAGGTTCTCCTTGCGACGGGCATCGTTCTTGCCGATGACGCGCTTGACCTGTGATCATCGGAGACCTTTCGTTAGTATGGGGGGTGAACCAGCAGCAGAGGGGTGCTTGAAGAAGAGGGGCAAGGAGCGAAAAAAGGGAGGACGGCGTACCTCGGCGAACTTGCGGGTCTTCTTCTGGACACCCATAGTGGTTGTTGGCTGCGGATGGGCGGAAGGAAGAGGTGAGGTCGTTGGGGAGAGAAAAGTCAGGCGAGGCTGGATCGCAAGGCTGATGTGATGGGATTTCCAGATCTCGCCTGTCGTCGACGGCGGGGTGTAAAAAAGTTTTAGTGGAGACATGCATCTTCTACGGGACGTTTGTGGGAGAATGAACGGCCAGGTGGCTCACGGCTGCTGCCAAGTGCCGAGCTGTGATGGATGATGCAGACGCAAAGCGGCGGTTGAGTGATTGGTGAACCACGCTTCAGGCGCACCTGCCACGCCTGCCACGCCGCTAGGCCCGTTGAGCCCTGCAGCCACTAACAGTTAGGCGTTGGTTTAATCTGCCGCTGGACGCCGTTTGCCGTGTCTACCATTTCTTTTGGTTATTTTTGCGACGACAAGCCCACCGAAGTCAAAAGCCGTCAGAGGAGAGAGAAGAGGACAATAGCACGGATCGAATGGAATGCAATGCCATATGATGACCTCGTGTGGGTTGACATGTCGGACAGAGCAGCAATAAGCACTGCGAATGACCTGCAGGGGCTGGGGGTTTCGAGGGCTGTTTTTAGGGAGGCACTGGAACGATGGGATGCACCAGTGCCAATACGAACACAGTGCACCCAGGGTCTGGCAGCCGTCGATCCGCCAGTCGTTTCCCCGATGAGCTAATGTATTCCACGGTGGACCTGAATGGAGCCACACGGTGAACAATCCTAGACAGGGCGGGCAGGCACACTCAGGTCCCAGCCCGAGACCGAGACCCCCTTTCCACGCTTGCGCCCCTCTCACTCTCTCTCGCTCTTCCCCTTCCCCCCTTTGAACCTGCCCTGTCAAATGGCAAAATAGCACTGTGGTTCCTGCTTTACTCATTCGTTTGCCTGCCTTCCCTGCCTGCCCCCCCCCGTTGCTGCCGCCCGTGTGCAGATCCAGATCTCTAGGTATTCCTCTCCTGCTCAGCCCTCAGCCCTCATTCTGGCTCCTCGCCCTCACTTTGGCTCTCGTAACCAACTTGGCCCAATCGACACACGGCTTCCATACGATACACGCAGTTGCTTTGTCGCCAGCTCTGCCCAACATTCTCTTCTCTTCTTCTCAGTTTACTTCTATTCGGCTATCTCTTCCAACGACAACCCCCGTCCTCTCCTGTCTCCACAACACGTCCGATTTCAAACGCTATCCCACTGCACGCGACGAACAGGCCAACCAGTCTTGCGACCCCGACACCGTTCCTTGCAGGGCGGCAAGTCTGTACGACCTCCACCACGTCTTTCACGCCTGCCACGCAATCCACGCCTACGAATTCAAATCTTCGCTCGACCGACCATGGTGCGCCTAGGCTTTGTCGCCCGGCGGCGCTCGCCCGTCCTCTCGTCAGCCGTCGCTGCGGTGGCGCTCTTCGCCACCACGACCTCTGCTCAGAACGGCGGCAACAACAATAACAATAATGCCAACACAAACCAGCCTTCATCTGCTGGAGAACAGCCAGAAACCACGGCCGAGGCGGAGACCACCGCTGCGGCGGCGTCTACGGCCGCGGAGTCAGCAACACCATCGCCCTCTGCCGATGCGGATGTGACCATTTCTGGGGGGTGAATCCGCGACGCAACCAACAGCCACCGCCGCGACAACCTCGCAGACGCAGGGCACGGGCGACGACAACAGGGGGCGATGTTCAGATCACTGGAGGCACCGACGATGGGGATGCCATCATGACCTTTCCCACCATCGAGACCATCCTGGAGATTCCCACCTACGCCCCCGCCGCTGTCCCGGCCTACCCTCCAGGTTCCCTTCATGCAACACTCGACGGGTCCCCGAGGGCACTGTATTCTTCGCTGTCGGAGCCATCCTCGGGGCCTTCGGCTTTGGGCATCTTTCTCTGGCGGGGGAATTGGTCGCCTGCCTGCTGCCTCGCTCTGTCCGCCCGTGCCGCTATTGAGCAGCATAGCGCCAACGACAAGGCCGCCTTTCCCTGCGCCTCCCGCTCATTTCTACAAGTACAGCGAATCATAAATTCTGCGCTTTTCT